GAACCCAGGTCTGCTGGAAGAGCGGCCATGCTCTTAGCCACACGAACCACTCTCCAGCCCCTCCAATCTGTTATTTTTACATTTGAGATTACCTGAGCCTCTTTCATGTGTCAGCACTGATGACCCAGTGATGAATAGACAGATAAGGTTCCTGCCCTCCTACCAAAGAGGGCTTGAAGAGTTAGAAAAGATTAAGCAACCAGTGAGCAAGCTCAGAAGGATAATCATGCCGGCGAGGGGTAAGGCTTCTGTGAGAGAGAAGAGGGCCCCACTTGGACAGAGAAGATTAAAGAGGGTCGGTTTGGGTGAGGGGATCAGTGAACTCTCTCTCAGGAGCCATATTTCTGTTGATTCCTGGCAGAAAAACACGGAGCACTCGGCAGAGGATGTGAAGGAAGACTGTTTTTCAGGATCAGATATACAAAACTATAAGGCAGAAAGGACTACAGAGCTTTCAAAATTGAAGGGGAAAAGTACTGAGGCATGAAACTGGAGAGGAGTGTGTCCCAAATATTCAGAACCCACGGGCCAGTGTGTGATGTTTTTGTTTGTACAAAGTATAGTGGGAAACAACTCACGATTTCAAATGGGGACTTCCTCCACAAGGCAATCTGGGTTCCTAAACCATTCTGGATTCTGCAGCCACAGTGTGATGACACCAGTTGTGACACTTTCGAAAGCAGAGAAGTCATTCCGCTTCCTAAACAGTTTGGTGCCCTTGACCTAACTATCTGCTGAAGTTCATGGTTCCCTTCTCAGAACAATGCTCTTAAATTACCAAGGAAACTGATTATGTTGAAATAGAGCGTATCACAATATTTTTATAAAATATTTTAGATAATAGCATACTTCAAAAACTATTTTCAAGAACTATATATAATATATACTATGATTATAGATATGTCCCTTTATTATACAGTCTAATGCCATGCCTGTAACCATAAAGTGGATAAATGGGAATACAATGTTGAGCTGTGAAGATGACTGTAATATGACTGAAAATACCTGATTCTATTGACTGACTGACTCACCTGAAGAGCTCATGCTAGTATCCGTGTTTATAATGAAAGGAGATGATAAATTTCCATTTGACGTTAGAAAAAAAGTAAAGGAATAATTTTTATCATCAACGTTCACAGACCACTCTTTAAATTTTGTTCTTGGGCCCATTGGGGAACCCAATGAATGACTGTTTATATAAGTGGTGGTTATTTCAGTTGTCACAGAGAAGATGGAGTTTCCGACTCTGGAGGTGACAGACAGCCAGGGGTCTAAACGTAGGACATTTTTGGAGAATGAATCAACAGGACAGAAAAGGTAGAGACTATTCTAAATTTCTGGGGAAAATCTCCATGGAACACCTGCGCCTATGAAAGAGTTAGAAAGGATCCCCCAAAGCCTGAGATCCAGGCAGAACGTCGCATAGTCTACACTAAGGCAAGGGACACACGGGACAGTCTGGGTAGAGTCTGAATCGGGAACATGAACACTCACCATTGGCTGTTCCTGAGCTGAGACCCAAGCCAAGCACTTACTCAGGGAAGCCTAGAATCCACACACCCACGTTGAGGACAGTGCTGGACATGACGGCACACATCTGTAATGCCAGTGTCTAAGAAACTGAGACACGAATTGAACACCAGCCTGAGCTACGGAGCAAGGGGCAGGGCAGCAGGATAAGATCCTGTCCCCAAAGCAAACAACAGAAAGAGCAAAGCCTGAGGATATTAATCACCTACAGACACACACGCTACTGCTCTACAGATTAAATATGACCCGTGGTGGAAAGTGGTTTACATAGTGTTGACACATAGCAAAGGCCACAAATATTGGCAATTATTCTAGTTATTAACAAGATTCTGATGTGGTGTTGGATTGTCATCCACAGGAGACTGCAATCTAATTGAGGAAACAAAATATATTTTGAAAAGGAAATCATTCAGAATCATTTGTTCAAATATAAACTATGAGCAACTCCGTGTTATTAATTTTTCCCACTCTAGTATCTTCTGGGTCATAGAAAAGCATGTTGGGGACTGGAGAGATGACCTGGTGGCTGAGAGCACTGGCTGCTCTTCCAGAAAACCTGGTTTAGTCCCCAGCACCCGCTTGGCATCTCACAACAGTCTGTAACTCTGGTCCCAGAGGATCCGATGTCCTCTTCTGGCCTCCTGGGGCACCGCACACACAAGGTACGCAGACATGCAGGCAGGCAGACACAGATACACGTACACTGATTCTGAAGTACTTCAGAAACTTTGTGCCCCGTGTTTGTATGTGAGCGTCGTGGGTGCGTAGGCGTGGATGGTACCAGATCTCTTCCTAACAAAGGTGATTTCAGTACCGCCTTTTTTTCAGTGTCTGCTGCTCAGCAGGTAAGCTCCTGTTTAATGATGACTGCTCAAATAAGCAAAAGTCACGACCAAAAAATAAATAAATAAAAATGGCTGCAGTTCCTTCTCAAAGTCCGGCGTTTGCCCTCGTTTCAGGGAGTAAGCCTAGAACAGGCCATTTCCTTTCATTTTGCCGTCAACGAGTTTAGTAAAGGTGTGTGAAGAACAACAGCTTCCACTTTTGGGACTAGCCGGGGATTTGAGTGGTTTGCACGCAGATGGCTACTGCTTACCAGAAAAACAACAGTCTGAGTTCTCCTTCTGCCATATCATTTGCTGCCTGAGGATGACCACACTCAGGAAATCTGCTGATCCTCCGGGTTTCATCCATAGATGGCAGATGCTGGTTTTTACTTAAGCACTGTCATGAAGATAGGAAGAAAAAGATGACTTGATGGAACAAAATGGGCCACAATGAAAATATTTCACAAGGGCCATAATGTCTATTAAAGAGATAGGTTTCTGGAACAAATATACTATACCACATAGTCCGCCCCCCCCCCTTAAATTCATGTCCACCTAGAATCTTAGGATGTGACTTCATTTGGTAACGGGGTGTTTGTAGGTGTGATCGGGTTAACGGGAGACCCTAACACAATGACTGGTGGGATTTGAACAGCGGAGAGAATGCCATGTAGACAGGGGTCAGCACTGGAGTGAATGCTCCATGTACAAACCAGGGAACGTAAAGATCACCACAACCCACTAAGAGTGGCGCGGAGCAGATTCTCCCTCGGAGGGTTGGGGACCAACCCTGCTGACTGACACCTTAATTTCAAACATTAAATTTCTAACACCGTGAGAGAATGTACTGCTGCTGCTGTTTTGGTCTGTCTGGTTTGTAATGCTACATCAAGGCAGCCATGGGAAATGAATACATGTATCCGAACCAAGGTAAGCTGGGCTTCCTGGCAGTAACCATGGGTCCTCTTCCCCTTGTCCTGGACTTCCAACACAGATATGCTTCCTACTCCTACTACAGAGCAAGAGAAATTTTAACTTGATGTCAAGAGCAAAGTAGGTTTGTGATTACAGAGCGACTATGAGATCTTTCCTAATGAGATCAGCTGCCACCCCACACATTGTCACTGTCATCAGGAACACTGGCCTAGGGAGCAGTGTCCATCTGGAATATTGCGTCTTTCTGGTCTGCGGCAGAGAGAACAGAGAAAGGAAAAAATCGAGCATTTATTGATTGAGAATATGACATTGATTTCCATATCCAACCTGTTAATCATAAAATTGGTGCACCTGTAAGTGATGGGAGTCTAATCCACTTGGTCCCAAGGCAAAGACCAAAGCAAGGGTGTGGCCATTTATCCATGCATGGAAACGTGTGACTGGATGAAGGGAGGTCCTAATTATAACATCATATGGACAGAGTGGCAGGGGGAAGAGTGTCTGGCAAGACACGCATGGATTCTTCTACCCCAAAATGATCACTATCAATTCTTCTCACATCTCATTGGCCAGAACAAATTGTTTGCAGTATAACCATGTCGGACAGCACATTGTGGATCTATGGGCCCTACCTGTAGTGAGGAGCATGGTATATTTTTAGCAATAGTATAATCTGCTCAAGTCTTAGGGAAGATTATACTTGTAGCAGTCACTGTGAGAGACTTTCACACCCTACAGTGGTGGTGGTTTCATGAGCAAATGTCTTTGGGAGTGACCTTCAGCACAAGTGTATTGTGTCATATAAGAAAGCAATGACTGACTTTGTTTCTGATTCTAAATGGCATTCTTCTGGGGGATCACCTAAATCATCCCCAGATGTCAGCTAATCTCTCAACATTAAATTTAGCTCCCCAAGTAACAAAAATGTGCAACAACCACAAAGGAAAGTGCCACTGGCAACACCTCACAAGGAGCTGGGATGTGCAGCCCACCATCTCCAAAAGCAGGGCAGCACCCTACTGGGGACCACACATAGTGATGCTATACTGTATATATTCTGCACTACATGATATCAGCGTGTGTGTGTGTGTGTGTGTGTGTGTGTGTGTGTGTGTGTGTGTGTGTGTTTGTACTTGAAGCTCTGCATCCTGGGTAGAAAAGGGATACCAGCCTGGCTTTGGCATGCCTAGCAGAATTCCAAAAGCAGGGGCATAGCTATCGATATGTAGATATACAGATATCTTATATATGTTATCTATAAATATGGGTTATCTACAGGTATATAATAACAGTGGCTGTCCTGTGTGAAAAGCTTCCTGTATGTGAGGTCCTGGAAGTTTTTCCTGGGTTAGCTCACTCGGGTCGTCCTTGCCAGCAGGTGCAGCAGCTGAGGTATCAGAACAGGGTTGGCCCTTGCACGCCCCTGATGTTGAGTGCTTCTCTTGTCTGAGGCCCTAAGTCCGAGGCTCTTCTCTTTGAGGCTCCTTTTACACTAGATCCCCACCTGCTGGCAACAGTCTGTCCGCTCAGCTTCGTTGACACCTTGTCTGCGGATCAGGGAGCTGAGTTTCTGCAGGTGGAGGAGAGTCTCCTCCCTTCACTTTCGTTCTTTGCTTAGCTGGATGAGCCCCAGCGTGGTGGAGGCCAAAGCTGAGGTTTGGGTCCAGGCCTGTCTAACCTTTCAGACGTTTCTGCCTTCCCTTGCAGGTGTCCAAGGCGGCTGCGGACTTGATGGCCTACTGTGAGGCACATGCCAAGGAAGACCCCCTGTTGACCCCAGTCCCGGCCTCAGAAAATCCCTTTCGGGAGAAGAAGTTCTTCTGCGCTATCCTTTAAGTCTCTGAGAGGAGGCTGAAGAGCGCCGGGGCTCCTGGGACATTGGTGTAGAGTTCCTAACAAAGTGGGCGCCTTTCTCGTCCGCAGCATTTAAAGAGAGGAAGGAGAACCATCCTGGACACTCCGGGCTGTGCATGTTTAACGAACTGTCCCCTTATGAGAATGGAAGCTGATTTAACGTCCCAACTTTAGAGATCTGACCCAGCAGACCTGCCTGGAGGAGGGGAATGTATAGAAAAAAAAAACAAAAACAAAAAAACAAAATCGATGTCACTTCTTTTCTGCTATCCCTCTAAAACCTTACATTTCTGCTTCATATTTAAAAACAAAATAAACATTAAAGCCGGTGTCCTGAGCTGAGATATGGCTGACCTTCTGGGAATGAGAATTGTCTTTCAAATACCCTCTGATAAGCTGTCGTCCCATGTAGCCACAGTTCTGTTGAGTGACATCCATGTTTAGTCCTTCGTGCCTTTCCCTTTCCCTTCCCTTTCTCTTTCTGTACCCCTCCCTGTTAGTGTACTGTGGAGAGAAGGCTGGGTTTGTGTGTTACCCTGAACTCTAAGGATGAGTGAATAGCTGAGACGGTTAGAAAGATGTTCCCTATGATATTTCTTCACAAGAATAAAAAAAAGAAAGAAAGAACACACACACATACACCACACACACCACACACACTCACACAATGCCGGCTATCTGTGTTCTCTTACCACTCTTCTTAATATTTGTATATGATAGTTTTGATTCTGCAAGTAAAAGTAAATCATGTGTTGTGACTGGTGCTTTCATGTCTTTGTGGTAGTTTTTGAGTAATAATACTGCATGAAAATGTCCCCATGTTGCATCCATTCAGAAGTTTTGTTGTTCAGCTGGAAAGCTAAGAAGAGAAGTGAAAGAGAAAAAGATTGGGGGGGGGGGTCCTCTGTATTTTGAAAACTGAGATCACTTCAGCGCCTTAGTCATCCTGAAATACCTCCTAGTTAACTGTGGTGTCAGCGCCCAGACACAGATTTTCCCCAATCCACAGCGTTTGAGCAGCACAGTTACTCCGTACTGGAGACAGGACAGGGATCCACCATGACTTAGGAAGGCACTGTCAGAATAGCAACCCGTTCCCACTTTCCAGGAACCGTGGAAATCATAGGCAAAAGAATATTGTCCCTGTTCAACACTAGAAACCTATGGCCCTCATTAGCTCAAGTGTCAGAAGAAATAAACCCCCCAGCTTCAAAGAAGGTGGCCACCCCCAGAACACCCGCTGCTGGAGAGACAAGTCCCCCAGACACACTGAGCAGCCCCCTCAGCTGGCTCTTCTTCCCACCGACATGGTCCTCACTTTTCACACCCCGAAAAGTTCGAAGCAATCATTGCTTTGCGCCCTGTTGGTCAGAGCCTCTCTGCCCTATTTACAGCTTCCTTTGGCTAGCGCTCTCTTCCCACAATAAAACACTGAGAGCGGTGTTTTGGTTTTGGGGTGTTTTGTTTTGTTTTGTTTTTTGTTGTTGTTTTGATTTTTTGTTTTGTTTTTTGGTGTTTTTTTTTTTTTTTTTTTGGTGGTGGTTTTTGTTGTGTTGTTTTGTTTTGTTTTGGGTGGTGTTTTGTTTTGGGTGGTGTTTTTTTTCACTGCAGTTGTAACCTCCATAGGTAATGAAAGGTTCTGGGAGACTCCACAAGCTTTCTGCATTCTTCCCAGTCAAAGAGGGCCTTCTGTACATCTTGTTTGTTATCAAATCCTAAAAGACCACTACAGCCAAGTTAACTTTACTTTCTCCTCCTACCATCCTCTTCCTCATTTTTAAAAAGAGTGTGTGGGGTGGTGGGGTGGGTACCTGGAGGGAAGAGAAGATAAAAAAGATTTCCTATTTATAGCAAGGACCCATTTTGAAATAGATTTGGTAAATATTTTTCTCTTTTATGGGTTTTCGGTAAAGGAATAAATATGTCCATTTAAAATTTATGCCTGAGGTGGGAAGATGAGGATATCAGAACATGTCTCAATGCATAAATGCGATTTTGTAACCAGGAACTCTCTTCTGGTCAGATCTTGGGGGTTTGTTATTGTGGGACACTCAGGAAGATTTAGTGGTTGAAATAAAAAGCTGTGGGTCTTTACAGAACTCTGCTGTTGTGCAATTGAGAGTACTGTGGAATCAGCTAAAAGTGTCACACATTTCAAGTGAGCTGAAACGTGAGTATGTGTTCACACGTCAACTAGGGGCACTCTTTGCTGGTGAGTGGCATCACTAGAAGGATTCTGGACTTCTGTGCAAATTTAGACCTCTGAAGCAATTAAAGTGGAATCACAATCTTCAGAGCACACCTTGTACAGGTCTAACAATTAAAAATTAAGGGTTTATGAATTACTCATGAGCATGCTTACAGAATGAGAAAGCAGAAAATGCATTCCCCTTCTGAAAGGAAGTTTCAGGAAAATATCTTGTCTCTTTCACAATTTCATATCCTTCGGTATGGAGCTATAATCAGAATCAGTTTTACTTATTGATGTTTGTATTTATTAAAGGGGAAAAAAGTTTTGTTTACTTGGGTCTCCAAAGAGCTTAGTTCTTTTGGAATGTCAACTATCATTTTCATCAGCATAATTTTATCTTAGGTAACTAATAGGAAACTTCAGCTAAGTTATTTAGGGCCCTCATTTCTATATGCCTGGATAATAATTAAAATCTGCAATGGAATTAGGAGATAATAAATGTCATACTTATAATGCAATGTCTGTTAAATGCAATGTCTGTTAAAATACTTGAACCATTTTCAATACCAACTCCAATTTAAGATGTTTTTCAATTTGAAAGCAAGTAAGATATAACTTAAATCATCATCAGATTTTAAAAAATTAATCATATTTTCCCTCATATGCTTGTATTCACATAATGAATTTTGAGTAAATCAAGCCAATGGTCTTTAGGAGATTTTTATACTTTTTTCTTTTTCCTTAGTGTTTGTTTCTAGCTGCTCCTGGAAATGATGGATATCATGTGTATATTACTGTCTCATAGCCCAACAATTGTTCAGATCTCCACACTTCCTGTATAAGATCTCTGGAATGTGTCTTTAAAGAGAAGGGAACAGAAACATTGGGTATAGGGGGGTGGGGGGCTTGTTGCGTTTTGGGTTGGGTTTTTTTTTTTTTTTTCAATTTTTCAAGACAGGGTCTCACTATGTAGCTCTGGCTGTCCTGGAACTTGTTCTGTAGACCAGGCTGGCCTTGAACTCAGAGATCCCCTGCCTCTGATTCTCGAGTGCTGGGATTAAGGGTGCAAGCCACCATGCCCAGCTTAGAAATGTTAAAGCAGGAGAACCTGAATGTAGTGTGCACATCTTTATCCCACATGAACCGTGTATTTGTTATAATAAATGGAATTTTCAGATGCATTTCCTGTGGGGTCACTTTCATTGCAAATATCTGTGGACTACTTCCCACGTCAGTGTTGATTTTAAAAGGACCTGGGGAGGCAGAGGTGGGGAAACAGAGATCCATGGTTTCTTTAGGAGTTTATTCACAGCAGTTTTTAAACAGAGGTTGATGCTCTGCAGAAAGACCGTCTTCCTAGGTTGCTGTGTCTCGTGTACAACCCTTGGGAACAAAGAGGCATGGCCGGGAGGGTGCTCGGGCTCTGCAGCTGGACCAGAGGAGAGATGTGCCAGCTGCATAGATGGTGTAGCTTGCTGTGGCTGCCCCCCAGTAGTACCACCCTACCCCCACCGTATCCAGAGTGTGCTGTTCTGTCTGTGATTTTAAAACTATACTTGAGAAGACCGAACCTTTGAATCCTAGATTCAGCAGTCTCCTTGAAGATCTTCTCAGTCAACACAGGCTTTTTTGCCTTTTTTTTTTTTTTTCCAGTACTGGGATCGAACCTAAGGTCGCATGAATGCTGGGAAAGCACCCTACCATTGACCTGTGTGCTTTTTCTACTTTTAAAAAAAATTTAACAGCATCTGGCTGTGTTGCTCAGACTAGGCTTGAATTCATTCTCTACCCCCAGGCAGTGCTCACACTTGCAATCCTGTCTCAATACCACCACCTCCCCCAATCACTGGGGTTGTAGGTCTGTCCCACCCACCCCCACACCCCACTAAGAGAGCCTTCCGACTGTCCCTCAGATTGTGCTGGTAGTAGGTATTGCTAGTGAGGAAGGAAGCGCTGGGTCTCTTAGGACTTGTGCCAGCAGCAGCAGAAGCAGCTCCAACCCAGGGATGGAGGAACGCCTTGGTGGAGTTTGTGCATGACCACTCCAAGTCCGTCGCTGTTTCTCAAATGGCGACCACCCCCGTCAACATCACCTGAGATGCTTATTAAAAAGGAAAGGTCCCGCCCCTGCCCACCACGCACACAGGTGAACTCAGATTCTCTGACGGTGACTTAACAACACGTGTTCTTTTTTTTTTAAACAACACGCATTCTTTTGCATGCTGCCTACCCTCCGAGTTTCGTTCTCTAAGTACCCAGCACCGCTTGCTTTCCCTAAGGCTGAAGAAGGGCACAGATCGCCAGCATGCAAGAGTGAACACTGGAGAGCAGCAGGTGAGGACCCGGGCAGCTCCTGGCCGGAGCCCTTGCCAGGAGGATGCGGGTGGGCTTTGGCTCTGTTCCTGTTTCCGTCCGTCCCTCTGGGAGGATCCCCTCCAGCACTCCTTCTTTAATAAGCCAGTCACATTTTAGACAGCACTCACAGTGACAGAGGGAATTAGAGCTGGGTCAGCTCCAATCCACAAATTGCAAATAATTTGCCAAGGGAAATCCCTTTCCCTTCGGTTCTGCCCCAAATCTACATTTTTCTTCTATTTAGAATCAGGAGAGTTGGGCAGAATTGATTTCAATGAAGGGACTACTGGGTTCCCGACCCTTCCCCAGTGGGAACTCCTGCTGGAACCAGCAAACTGCATCCCTACCCTAAGTTACAGGTTGATGGTGTCTGGTGACCTCAAACACACTTGGGACTCCATTGTGTGAACTGAAGAGTCAGAATGAGGCTCCAGGTTCCCACGTGATCTCCAAGACCCCTAACATCTCCAAGCTATAAAACTGAGGGAAGACTACTGAATTCATTTGTCTTACAAAGTACCCAAATACAGCCCCGTGTGGTGGTGCACACTTTTAATCCTAGCACTCAGGAGGCAGAGGCAGGACGATCTCTGGGTTCCAGGCCAGCCTGATCACAGAGTTAGTTCCTGGGTAACCAGAGCTACACAGAGAAACCCTGTCTCAAAAAGCCAAAACCAAACGACAACAACAAAACAAAGTGACTAAACCAAATGAAACAAAACGATTAAAAGGCATCCTGAAGGAGGCAGAGGTGAAGGATGGTGCCCACTACTTGCCAGCAACCCTGGAAGACAGAAACACTAGGCAGCCCTGCCTCGGCTCCTGAAACGCTCTCCTCTCTAGCCACGCCCCTGGCTCTAACCCTGAGTGCCTGGTGTCTGAGTTTCTCCACACCCACTGCTATGATCACCCTCACACCCCTCTCACTCTCGGCTATGGCACCAAAGTGGTCAGTACTCAGGCTCCCTCTTTGCAGGAAGCAAGGTCTTCTTAACGACTGCCTGAGTGTAGAAGAGCGCAGAAGCCGGTCCGCTCTGCTCGGCCGGCTTCCGGCGCTCAGTTGAGTACTTCCTGTGCCCCTGTCCTGCTCCGCGCTCCCCTCTGCAGCATCAGGATACTGTCAGCTCTGACCAGCCCGGCAACTGCAGGAGAAAGACAATGACAGTCCCAGAAAACGTGTCCGGCCGTGCCCCTGGAACACGACCTCACAGTCTAGGCTGGGGGCAGAGTCACTGTGGCCACGTGGGCAGAACAGGGATCCTGGGGAACTGAACTCCTTGCCAGACTCAGAATCCCATGGTGCTCTGCTTCCAGGTACTCCTGTCAGCTGCAGGCATCCTCCTTCAAGGCTCCAGAGGGTCAGGCCCTGCCATGCCAATCTTCCTGCCCACCAGACCTCTCTCTTCTTTCACTGCCTGGTGACTCCCTGCTTCCTCAACACCTTTGCTTACCCCTTCTGGACTGTCCCTACATGTGACAAGAAATATAACTGCTGCAAAACACACCTCTTAAACCAGGTGGTGGTGACGCACGCCTTTAATCCCAGAACTTAGGAGGCAAAGCAGGCTGATCTCCATGAGTTCGAGGCCAGCCTGGTCTCCAGAGTGAGATCCAGGACAGCCAAGGCTACACAGAGAAACCCTGTTTCGAAAAACAAAAAACAAACAAACAAACAAAAACCTCTTTGAGCAACTTCCTTTTGCTCTTCTTTGGAAGTCAGTTTGAAGTCTGCGCTGTCTCTGAATGGCTTTACCCCTATCACTGGTATTTTAAAGCATGTAAAGTAAACAGCGTTGTTCTGCCTTCATGGAACTTGTGGGTTAATGGAGAACGTAAAGTCAATTGCCAGTTACCAAGGACTCAGGAAGCCCGGAGGGAAGCAGAGGTAGATTATGGACTGGAGGGGTTGATGTTGAAGTTAATAGCCCACCATGTGAGAGTCTTGTCTTTCAGGAAAAGTGTAACCATCTCCAGAGTCAGGGAGACCCCTTTCAGAAATGTCCCTTTATTCCTCCTGCATTCTTAAGGCCACTGAGAATGAAGTTCTCCACACAAACAATGGGCCACCTCTGAGTGGAGATCTTGGCCTCCTCTCCTAACCTGTGTGAATGAGGTCCAGGTCCCCCATTGCCATGGTCTGGGCATTCTGTCAGCCAGTGATTCCTTGACCTCAGTGATAATACTGAGGGGTCTGTGGGCTTCTCCAGGTTTGGTGATCAGAGGCAGTACAAGATTGACTGCAAGATTCATCTTCCACTTAGGCCTGAGGGAGGGGCCTCTTCTCCGGTCACTGAGATCTCTGTCTGACTGCCCTCCATTCTGCCTGTGTGTGACTATTCAAGGTTAGCCATAAATCAACAAGGCTTCAGTAAAGTTAAATTTCAGCCCCTCAGATAAGCTAACCCCATGTTAGGTGTCCAATGGCCACACTCAGCCAGCAGCTACCGTATTGAATGGCACAGATACAGACTATTTCCATCCCAGCAGAGAGTCCTGCCGTACACTAGTCTAGAGCAGTGGTAGCCTGCTTTACCCCAGACAACTGACTGACTGTGCTTTATCCTTGTATTTTGACAATTTTTTTTTTTTTAAGGAAGAAAGAGAAAGTGAAAGTCAATGTGAACTTGATATTCAAGGGCTCTGCAGCTGTCGATTGACCTACAGGTGGACAATATTCAGAAAAAAACTTTCATCTGTGTTGAACATGTAATGAGTTTGTTCTTTGTCCTCGGTCCCTACATAATACAGTATAGTGACTCTTGGTGTAGTATCAACATGAGGTTAGGTATTATATGCAAGCCAGAGGTGTCCCCCTGAGGGACAACTATGCTATAATAATTCATAACTGACATACTCGGCAATAGGTCGTGGCAAGTTATACAGGCTGTGGATGGTCATTCCTGGAAACCTCTAAGCCACACATTGTCACCTGTTTGTCACTCCTGAGAGTACAGTAATAAGAACAACCATGATGATGACACCAGCAATAGCCGCAACAATAAAGTGAACGTGTGTTAAATAAATACTTAACGGGGCATCAGGCATGAGGCCCAACATTTTGTACACAATATTCCGCTTAATTCCCACAGTAACTCAAGGAACACCATGGATCTCCTGAGGCGGACATCCTTTGTGCCTCCCAACACATGCATGACCCACTTCTGACTTCAGAGGCAGTTGGTGCGGTATTCTCGGTAAGGATACAGCTTCCCAGAGGAAACTAGTACCCTCCCCGTCTCCTCAGCCCCTCCCCTCTTCCCAGCCCCTCCCCGCCTTCTTCCAACTCCCTCCGCCCTGAAGCAACCCCTCAGCCAATGAGGCAGGAAGAGGCGGGGCAATGCCTGAACTAGGGTGTCCCCAGTCATCTGCATTAGTAACCAGCCCAACAAACACTTCAACGACTTCTGCCAGTGACTTCAAACTGCCTCCTTTCCTCATTAAAACTTTTTATAATTTGTTTTTAAGTATGTGTATGTGTGTGTAGTCTCTGTCTATATGCAAGTGCCCCTAGGGGGCGCTAGAGGGTGTTGAATGCCCTGGAGCTGGAGTTACAAACAGTTGTGAGCTGGAGTCACAAACAGTTGTGAGCTGCCTAACGTGGGTGCTGGGAACCGAACCCGGATCCTCTGTGGGAGTGGTAGGTGCTCCTAACAACTGAGAACATCCCTCCATCTCCGTGCCTCCTTCCCTCTTACCACATTTTTGCCTGCTGTGCTCATTCTCAACACTTCCTCCCCATCAGCTTCCTGCCTTCAACCCACAGACCCAGGCCTTGACCTAGCAAGAACTCAAACAAATCCATCCTGTTTGGGAGATAAAGAATTTG